CTGGGGTGCGCTCCGGGCACCGGAGCCTGGCGGGGACACGGAGCCCTGCGAGGGGAAGGGAGGAACGGGAACGGGTGCCGGCCTCGAGCTGCGGCAGGGGGAGGCCAAAATGCTGCTCGAAAAACTGAATCCCAGAACTTAGATGGCCTCCTGGTATTTCTTTAAATATCTGAGGACATTAGGCTACAGCAATGAGGCTGAGATGAATCAGGCCGCAGTTTGTTACAAAGTGTTTATAGTAAGACAGGGAAAGAAAACTCCCAGATTCCTACAATGTCTTGAAAATACATTACCTTATAAGTCAGTGGCATCTAAGCACCCATATCTAAACCACAGAAAAACTGTCTGCCTGTAGGAATGAGGTGATGTGATTGTAGTGCCTGAGGTAGGAAGCCGGAGCCAGCAGCTGCGGAGGAAAGCTCAGCACCTGCCCTCAGAGCTCGTGGAGCATTCCTGGCGTGCAGGGATAGGGTGATTTCTAGGGTGGAATTTAGAAGAACTCATAGACAGTCGCTGCCCTGACTCTTTTGAGCTCTTCACATTACAGTCAATAACTTTAATGCAGCATCACTTAAACCTACACGCAGCCCTTTGCTACCAGCCCGTGCTCACGCTGGTCTCTACGTTTCTGTCACCCTGCGCTTGCTGCAAGGAGCAGCCGAGCCCTGCGGCGTAACCGGAGGAGGAGGATGGAAACCGCCCCAGGGACCCGTGCGGTTGCAAAAAGCCCAACGTCTGCGTGTGGCCAAGCAGGACCGTGCCAAAAGCCAGAGAGGTTTCAGGTGAGCGCGCAGAGCCCGCGGCCGCGCGCCGTGGGGCAGGGAAACGCGTTACCTGCGCGCGGCTGCCGAGAGCTGCAGCCTGCGGAGGAGCCGGAGAGGAGCGAGAGCCGGCGGGAGCCACGCGCGGAGCCCGGAGCTAGCGGTGCCGCTGGAAGCAATGAGCTGCTGCTCGCCCAGAGCGCTTCATTTATTGCTCCTTCGCGGGGCCGGCGAATCTCTGGTGCCCTCTGTTGTTTTGCTCGCAGTGTTTGCCATAATTTTTTCCACCCAGACCACTCATGGCTTCACGCAAACGCAGCATTAAACTTTTATGTTTTCAGTTATGAGCAAACAAATCTCTCCTAAGACAAAACCGCAGCGGTTGCAAATGGCTCTTCTGGCAGGGAAGGGTCCCCGTGAGCACAGCAGCTCGCACTGCCGCGGGGCCCTGCAGCAGAGCAGGCAGCACCACGACAGCAAAGAGGAGCATCGTGGGGCCCTGCAGCAGAGCAGGCAGCCCCGCGACAGCAAACGGGAGCATTTGGAGCCTTTTGCAAGGCGGGTGGCAGGTGCAGCAGATCCATCTTGCACAAAATAACTGGTTGTGTTTAGTGTCTTTCCCTGGTGCCATCACGGAGAAGCCGCATCACACACCGTCACTGCTAACCAGGGCGATGGAGCTGGGCCGTAGCCAAGGGGGGTCAGTGCCTGCCAAAACCTGCTTAATAACAAGCCAGTGCCCTCACGGTGTTCTCATAGCCTCTTGGAGGAGTTTTGCTGGTGATTTCTCTGTGCCTGAGGACTTGCACGTGCAGCAGCTCTGCCTTGTCATGCCGGTTAATGTGAGGAGGCCAGTGCTGGTCTGCATGGACGTGCAAAGAGAGCGTAGGGAGAGCCCACACAGCCCAGCAGGCAGCACGTGCCCCGCAGACGCTCACAGCAGCTTTTGTAGGCTCATGAAACAAATGTATTTCACCTATGAAAATATATAGCATGATAGCGTGGGCAGGCTGTGGAAATAGATACCCTGGACAGGAGAAACTGGGGAGGGAGCCAGCCGGGAACATCAGTGCCCAGGAAGGGTTAATGAAGGCCCTCCCTGGGCTCCCCAGGTGGGAACAAGCAGCTCTGAGGGCAGCTGCTATAAGAAGGGGGGGCTGGGAGCTGCCGAGCTCAGTGGGGCAGCAGGAGCAGAGCAGGAGCTCCCAGCTCTGCAAGGGGGCACTGAGTCTGCTGGTGCCTGCACTGCCAGGAGCAGTGGGTGAAGGTGGCCTCTAGCCTGAGGTTAGTTGAGCCAAGAATAAGAAATCAGAGGGCTGTGTTTGGTGTGTGCTTGGCCTTTTAGGTAATCCAGTGGGAAATACCACGGTTCTGGATCTGCTGAGAAGAGAGACCCGTGAGGTGGGTGGTGCAGCCCACAGCTCTGCGTGTGCAGCTGGCTGACAAGGCAGCTTCTGCAGAGAGGATATCTTGATCTGTGTCCTGTAGCGCTCTGGTTCGAGGTGAGGACATAAACCACTGATGAGGAGAGATAGCAGAGCTGCTGCCTTTCCTGAGACGGACTCGGAGGGTGTTGAGCTGCTGAGAGCTCCCTCCGGTGCAGACTGCCCTGCAGGGGTTTGTTGGCCTTGGGTCTCCCTGAGCCTTGGTGTCGGTGCCCTCATCTTGTAGATGCAAGACCCAGATAAGTAAGGCACAGGTGACTTGTGCAACCTTTGGGGAGTCACCCAGGCTCTGCAAGTGCTCCCTCAGCTTTTGTTTTAGACAGAGGCTGACTCTTCTTGCACTGCCTTCAAACCTCATTGCTCCTTGGGATTATTGTGATGATTTGTGCTTGAAACAGGTGTCTTAACGACCTCAGAGTGAAGAAGGCTGTGCTCCCCCTGCCTTAAAGCAGCACTCACAATGCAGGTATCAGAGCAGATGGAGACTCAGTGCCCTGGGTAAGCCTTGCACCAAAGCTGTGGGGAATCCACAGGTCTGTCCAAATTCTTCAGATGTCAGAAAAGAGATTTTTTTTTGAACCTTGAGCTATTATTTTTCTTCCATAGGAAGAGAAGGTTATGCAGTTGGATGCGCTCTGCTCTCCTGAACCTGTAACCTGCCAGCGCTGGGGCAGAGCCTGCGGTTGAAACCCAAAGCCAAGTGTTTGGGGTCACCTGGGGAGCAGCACATGGTCTACCCAGCTCCAGGGAGTGCTGGGGAAGCAGCCTGTGCCTCGACAGGAACGGAGCTCGTCTCCCACAGCGTGCTGAACATCTGAGGCAATGCTCTGCCTATCCACGTATATCTACTGAAACTTTCTTTCCCGTAGTTGTTCTTGGAATATTCAAAATATGTTTTTTTTTTTCTACAGTCTTCTGATCTTTGAAAAGTGTGTCGGATCACTTTATCTTCTTGTGAGTGAGGATCCTAGATAGTAGCTGGGTGTCTTGGATGCTTCTCTCCTGATGGTAAGCCGTCTTGTTTGCTTGCTGTGCTCCAAAGTAATTCCAATAGTTTTAGAAATGACCTATTTCTTCCTGTTCCCTGTCAGGAAAGATAGCCCGGCATCTTAATATCCTTCCTTCTAAGGAGCCTGTTTGGACTTAAGTCTGTCTTTTTTGTGGCACTGGAGAAACTTTGCTTTCATCTCCAGGGTGTTTCTTCATGTCCATCTGTCCTGCTGACTTGAAGAGTAAGAGCAGTTGGAAGAATGTAGGCTGGTGTGCTTGGTAATATGCTGGTACCATGTGAAACTCTTCCCTACTGCCTCCACACCAAGGAAGATGATTAAAGAAACCTGAGTTAGCTTAATAATGAAACAACCTGACATAAGCAATGAGGTAAAACATGGTATGTTCTCATGTGTGGTGATGGTAAATATCAGTTGCCTAGTTTAAAAAATGAAATAAAATACAGATGATATAAGTTGCCAGACTTCATACAGGAGTAATAATTATGTGGAGGGGAAGGGAGACAGGTTAATGAACAGATTTCATGCCTGCTTTTACAGATCTGTATGTAATAACTCATTTGTTTAATAGAAATATAGACTATGGTGTAAAACTTAGTAATGACAAACCCAACAAGGATACCCCTCAAAAGAGAAAGTTATCCCTGTGAAATTGAGGCTTTATCTTGTCTTTTCTCTAGAAAGTCTATATCTGGGAAATATGGTTTGCATTTGTCTTTGTCTTGTCATTGCTGTGTTTTGACAGAAGAAGAGCCTCCTGGAATTCTTTGGTCACAAAATAATAGCAAATGCTATCCAGGCAGCAGTTAGAGGTGGCAATGCACCTTGTCACAGAGGACACGTTCCTCACAACCTGAATGGTGAAACAAGTAGCTCCAGTGTTTTCCATTATGAACATGGTAAGTATACTAAGGTAGGCTGGGAGAAAACATATTAAAAATACAGCCATATTTGTGTAAATAATGTAAATGGCTTTGTGGATTAATTTATCCTCTGGCAAATTTGTGCTGGACCTTTTCTTCAAATTCCTAATGACTTCAATGGAACAAAAGGTCAAGGTTGCTAATGGGAGAGTAAAAACAAAGAGAAGGGAAGTCAGGCTCAGAATAGGTGCACGGGCTGTGTCCTTCTGAAAGCAGTAGCTGGCCTGTCTCCCTTTGAGATGGAAGGTGGTGGCTACTATCACAGAGACCCAAAGAAATCCACAGAGAAGCGCAGCCTTTGCTGGAGACCTAAAGGTCTTTGCTTTCAGGGGGTGCTTTATGGCAATGTATCGGTCGAGCGAGATAAATAAAATAATGTAGATGCTCACTTCCATGTTGATGAAATATATTGCTTCTGCAGCCTGGCAGAGTTCATCTCGGACCGACTCCTTCCAGTGTAGGTAGATCATTAGTGGCAAAGTGCAGATAACAGAGCAATCTGCAAAGATTAAGTTGACTATGTAGACCCTGGTTTCTGTCCACTTCTTGACTTTGTAGAAGAACACCCACAGGGCAAGGGCATTAAAAATTGCTCCAAAAAAGAAAATGAGGATATAAAGAGTTAATTGGACGAGATAAATGGGATAGTAGGGTTGAAAACTTGTCAGGCTGCAGTTGCTAGTTGCATTTGTCGTCATGATGTGTGGGTGCTGCGTGATGTTCTGAGACCTGAAATGGGAAAAGACATGGTAAGACTTTCTGCCTTCTTCTCAACAGACACAGGACTCCATATCAAAACGTATGTAAACATAACCTTTCCTATGTTATAAATGCAAACTTGACTCTACAGAGATGCTTTGGTTAGCCTGTAATTGGGATGCATCCAACTCCAAACTGACTCTGTTATTGTGAATATTTGGGGGTGCGGTAATACATGTCAGACTCTCCAAATAGAGGAGCCCTGAATGGAGCAGGGGGGCACTAGCACTTGCAGAAAGGGATTCTGTGCCACAGTCAGCAAAGATAACCAGGGTGTCTTCTGATTAACCTGAGCACTAATTCCTTGAGTCAGTCTCTAGGTAAAAGGAGCTCAATTTTGAGCAGGCAAGAGTTTTGGTGACTAAAAGCCCAGCGCAATCAGGGAGCACAAATTCTGGTGTTCATGGTGCCTTGGGAGGTGTGGGAGCAGGTCCATGGAGGCTGTGAGGCTGCAGCAGGTGCTGTTTGGCAGGACCCTGATCCTGACTCAAGGCAGGTGTGTTGGAGACTCTGGGGTGCCTTGGGTACCTGCTGCAAGCTGAGGAGAACAGATCAGAGCCTGAGTTCCTGCAGCCTGTTGGTGAGCTTAAAGTCCAAATAAGAGTGTGAATGTGAGAAGTGCTGCTCTCTGCATGCTTTTGGTGTGTATTAAACTAGCTTTTATGTCTACTATTCCAGAACAGAGCAAAAGCTTGTGGATGTAAAGCAGGAAGACATTTCTGAAGAGAGAAGGTGTAAAAAGCAAGAGCTGAAGGACTGCTCTAGATACTATCTGCTTAAGGTAGGCATCCTGTCACCCTGTGAAATGTAAGAAGTAGGAACTGAACCTTTGTGGTACTGGCTGCTAGGTGCTTTGCAAGAGTGTTGACCGTGTAAAGGGTAAAAATATATGGGCTGGTTAGTCTTTCAAGGGCAAGTGTATCTCCTATGGGAGGAAGCATCTTTGTAGTGTGCATGTGGGAGAGATCTCTTAAGTGATGACTCTGTGTGTGCATCACCGAATTTGGGGAAGAATGCCATAACTTCTTAATTCAGAATAATTTGACTTGCTCTAGTGCAGTCAAATGGTGAAGAATCTAGTAAAATTCTGCAGCTTCTGGAAGTGTAGAGGGGATGTCATGCCAGAACAGATGTAGTCAAGTATCTACTTCCACAAGCATGCAAATACTGTAATGGGCAGACAAGCCAACAATACCAGAACGAAAGTATTACTTAAGTAACAAACAGAGCGTAACTTGATATATAGAGCAGGAGGTGAGGGGTGCAAGTGTTCATGTTCACAGCTCTTGTGTGGAGCCTTGGTCTGAATCTTGTGTGCACAGGACTAGATATTCTCAGCAGAGATTTATTGCTTGCCTTCTCTGAGGGGCTGGAATCACTTGGATCTCTGGTATAGAAAACCAGCTAAATGACAGTAAGTGACAGCAGGGAAATGCCGTTACCCATGGGTGGGACTGCCTTGTTGTTTCACTTCCTAGGCGCATGTGAGGCGGCGTGTCTGCTGCTGAAGTGCCTCTGGGAGCCCCTGCTCTGCAGTGCCAGCAGCATCCTTGCTGTACAGGTATGAGGTAGGTGACATGTGCCAGTGTCCTCAGCAGCTCTTGTCTTGGGCTGACACCAGCTCTGGAGCTGGAGACATGACCCAAATCCAATTTCCCTCTATTGGTCTCCAGGCGGTGGGGCCTGCTGGCAGCTCGGAGCTTGCAAGTGCTCCAGGGCATCAGGCAGGTCAAAGAACAGGGGAGAAGAAATGAGTGTAGGATTTTAAAGCAGACCACCCTGCTGATAGGGTATGGCTCAGCCCTATGTGTCTTGCGGCGGGGGGATGCTGTTTGATCAACTTGCATATCCTGTGGCTGCTGTAAATAGTGAAAGTGGGTGAGAATGCAACAGTGGGCTAAGCAGCAAAGCTGCAAGTTGGAGGAAGATGGGAGGTGGTTATAAAAACCAAACTTGCTGCTGATAGAGGAATGGGTGTAGGCAGGAGCTTGAAGGGCAAGATATTAGATCTTCAATACTGTGAAACTTGTCTTTGCCCCTACCATACACTCAGGAGAGCTGGTGAGCTCTCATCTTGGGAGGCTGGAGCTTGCCAGCTGGCTAGGAAGGTCAGGACTGTGCTGATTCCTCTTGGAGCAAATCAAGAGGAGGCAAACTCCTTCCAGACATTTGAGATATAGAACCAAGATGTCTCTTGGGCCTCTAGCATCTTTGTGCCAATTAACCAGTGTGTTTCTCATCAGGATGGCTATGGGGGTGTCTGACAACCTGCATCTGCACCTGCAATGAGGGATGGGAGTGCAGCACTGTGCCCCAGAGAGCCCTGCCTGTAAAATCCTCCTCCTGCCTCAGAGGGAGTGTTTTGGAGGTAAGCAGGTACCAGAGCAACCATGGGGGAGATGGATGCATAGCTGAAATACTCCAGGAGAGCCCAGGAGTTAGGGTGGTTTGCCAGGGTGAGTTGGAGAAAGGACTTGGAGCTGAGCAAAGGGAGGAGGGCAAAAACAAGGAAAGGAAAGAGGACCCCTGTCATGGGAGAGGGACATGAACACAACTGGGTTGAGGACAGCATCATGAAGCTGCCCAACTTTCCTTATTGGCTGGATTTGTCAGGAGAGACTTAATTTCCACACAGGATTGAGTAGAGCTGACAGGAACCCCTCAGAGGGGTGTTTGGTGATCTGGCTAGGAGTCTAGGGACAGCTGTACTGCCTGGACTTGGTGCTAACAAGTTACTCCTTCAGGCTCCAGGTGGCCCACAGAAGTGAGAGAAGCTTGTCTGGACAGAAGGAGTGGATAAGCTGCCTCTTAGAGGAAGAGCACCTAGGTAAGAACTTAGCCACCACACTGAAATCAGGGGGCCTCTCTCCCTCCTTCTAGGTGATATGAATAAATCTGTCTGGAAACTGCCCCATCTAACCTTCCTGTTGTTCACAGCCTTTCATGTCAGGTGGCAACTATTTCAAACATGGCATCATAAAGCACAGCGTTCTAACTCCTACTGATCTAGGCTGATCCACCACTGCATCCCTTGGATATTAATGGTTAGGCACATAACTTTGTGCCTAGTAGTTATGGAAGAACATGCTGAAATCCATAAAATCTCCAAGAACAACCCTGCAAATAAACCTTAACTGTGTATTCCAATTCTAGTTGGAGTATATGCATGGACCAGTTAGGAAAATTCTTTCTTAGAATCAAGAAAGTCTTTCTTGAACTCTGACAACTTGAATTTAGAAAGCTTCTGCTGACTCATTCCAAGTCAGAAGTTTGTTCCTCTTCTCCTGTTCCCTTCCCTCAGTTACAGACCAACTGGTTGTGAAAAGCCCCGCTAGGTCCAAAAGAAGAGGTAAAGCTGAAAGGGAGATCAAACACATGAAAGCAGTAATATAGTCACCCCAAACACAGAATTTTTTGAAAGACAATAATAAGAAACAAGGTTAATAACATGGAATTAGGTTAACTTATACAGAACCTTTTGGAATTAATTACTCTTTGCCTTGGGGTTAAGTTAGTTTCCATCTTTCAGTTAGTTTTAGGAAATAATATGCTGTATCCTTACAGATAAGGTATCTGGAAAAGACTTTGGAGCAAGAGCAGAAGTGAAACAGTTCAGAGCTAAGCATCTAAGGAATGAATCTATGAAGCCAGCTGATCCTGCTGGCTTCAAGAAACAAGATGCCTAAGCCTCGTTTAACTCATTCCAAGACACAAAGCCAGGTGAGACATCCATCTGAAAGGCAATCTGTGGTTAGAAAGCAACAATGAAACCAAGTGAGGTTACCTGTTGGTGTAATAA